CAGCCATAATTGTAATATTTGTAAAATGCATACAAACCCAAAATATTAAAAAAATGTGTGGATACTTTTTAGACTCTGATCCTACATTATCCTCAGGTCCTTAATGTTTTAATAATTGACTGATTTTCACTAGTAACCTAGAAATCTTTTTACTGGACAGATATGCTCTGGCTATTCTGTTTTATAGAAGTTAGAAAAACAGACCAGTCTGAGTATTGAATACATAGGAAATAATGAAATTTGATTACCTATAAATTTAATTTAATTACAACTCCATCTGTAAATTATTTTTTGTCCTTTTAACAGTCTCTTCAGACATTTGAATGACATTCATGCAATGCAAAGCTTGGTCTTCCTTTTTTTTTGAGAAATGTGTCAAGTATAATATTTTATCACCGATACTTGTTTCCTCCCTTGCATACTGTGACTAGGTGTATTATGCATTAATTGTCCTTTCTACTAATCTCAATACTATCATTTATAAGGATGTCTGTGTTTTATTTAATCTCTCTACATGATATATTGATACAGTATACTGTATATTCTACATGTAGGAAAAAACAGGCTGCCACTGTAACAGATGTTGGTGGATCAGTTGGTGGCAACCTTGCCTCTGGAACAATTTTCAAATCAATACCCAGTATCGTGATTGGGGACACTCTTTTGTATGAGGTGTTGTCCTAGGACCAAGGTCCTAACTACTCTGCACGTTTTGAAAGAGGAGGGGTGATAACCCTGTGTACTGGACATATTCAATTTTATACTTGTACAATCTTATATCAGTGGCTCTCCTAAAGTTCTACCTCACTTCAGCTATCAAAATCAATTTCTCTACATGGTTTATAATGCTAATCAGATATGCAGCATCTCCAGGTGGGTGCTGTACCTCAGGTCATAGTTGTCTGTGGGTCCTCTCCTGTGTGTAAGGCACACTGGGGCAAAAAGGTGCTATGTAAATGCAACAGATTATTTTAAGATCACAGAATGCTGGTTTAAAGGAATGCTGTTGTTTACACATTGAATTAACTATAATTCTAAATTACAAAAATGACTGGTGGGAGTTTTACACCAGTTCTGTTCTAGAGGCGATGTCACAGCAATCCAGTGCCCCTAAGTGGTAAAATGATTCTGGGAATTAATTTTCAATGTGATTCCTCTGGGTACTAAAAAACCAGAAACCAACTTACAGAAACCAATACAGAAATTAGATTTGACAGAAATCAACACAGGGAAGAACATTCAAACTCCATGCAGATAGCACCCAAGAAGTTAACCCAGAACTCCAGTGCTGTGAGGCAGCAATGCTAACCACTGCACTGCTGTGCTGCCACTAGCAACATACATACGAGCAACAGGTAAATTAAACTCCTCAACCCATTTTTGGTGAAGCGCTTAAGTGCAACAAGCACAAGAGATTTATTCACAAAAACCTGCAGAGCAGAATATTTACATTTTTTTCCCCTTTCAAACCTTTCAGGGCACAGTGGTAATAGACATTCCCATTTATTAAACTTCAAAGAAAAACATTGTATTACAACAGCAAAAATGTTATTGTAAATTATATGTACAAACATGTATTGAGCAATTATAAAAGAAAACAAAATCAGAATAATGTAATGATTGGTTCAATATTACTTAAACATATGGAATGCAGTATACAGTAGATTAACATTTCATTTTTACAGGAAAACCAACTACAGATTTCCTATCTTTTAAAAACACATCAGATATTAAAGTTAACAGATTATACAAGAGTGCCATCTTGTGTATAGAAATCACTAAAGAATTTGAGGACCTTAATTTATTATTACACTGATTTTTCTACATCAATTACAAATGTTAACAAGATGACTAATGTAGCAGATGCAAAAACTTCCTTTAAAAATCAAATATTTTTTTATAGTGGTTCAATAATATAGTAGGTTTTTTAAGTATTTTCATCAGTGGCATAAATTTAAATCTGAATAAGAAAGAACAGTAGTACAGGTCTATAGTCAAGATTTTTACAAATTTCCTGAAAAAGGCCTTGAATGTGTGTTTAAGGTGGCTCTTCATTGTGTTGTACTCATTTAAAAATGAGACAGTGAGCTTCAACAGTACTACACAGTGACAGCATGTTTTTTAATCTCCAAAGGTTTCATGCATATATAATGAATGCTGCACTTGAATTCAAGAGGTTCAGACTCTTAATATATGACCATATTCACAAATCCACTGATATGAAGACAAAGCATTATAAAGTGCATAACTATTTTTCTATCAAAATACTGTAAGTGCAAATATATGCGACATTCACAAACTATTAAATATTTTAGTTTCCATTCAAAATGATTATATTTTATTTATAAAGCATCTAAAGGTAACTTCTGTTTATAGAATATCACTCACTGTTATTCCCAGAACTGCCTGGAAATACTCTTCTATATATTACAACCCTTACAAAACCCTTAAAAAGACCTACATAGAAATTCTTGATTCAAGAATAAACTTTTTAGCCAGTACTTAATTTCCTATTTCTCTATTTCTTGAAGTTAGACTTTACCCCAATCCGTGGTATTCTTTTAATTTCAACTGAAATTCTTCCATATCGATTAGCCAAGGAATGTTCCCAAGTACTTCATTACATATTACTAGATTCTCATTAAATAGAGTGGTATAACATTACAATCAAACAACAGTGTTATTACTATAGGTTAAACTATTTTAGAATGGAACATCATCACAGAAGTAATGATGTTAACCAAACGGAAGCAGGATTACATCTCATAATCTCTTCCTTTGAAATGCAATATTTAGGACAACTGACTTTAGACAAAACTTACACATTGCAACTAATAGCAGCAAACATTAAATAGTTGTTACAAGATATTTCAGAAATAAAGTTTTTACTTTATGAAATAATAATCTTTTACATCCCAATTTCATCTTGTACTCAAATGTCCTGTGCACACCTACCTGATGTAGAGCAAATCTGTGGCTTTTGGTCTACCAGACCCAAAAATGCACCCATTGTTAAAATATCAGTGATCTTTTCAGAAAATTAGAATTTATGTAGTTTCTGTAAAATGATAATAGGCTATTTGATCCACCTTGCTCATTTGCTAGTTTGGTATCTAAATGAATTTTCATCCAGTTGTTTAGTAAAAGTGTCTGTTCCAGATACCCTCTTGTGTAAAGTAAGTGCCATTTACCATCCTAAACATATTCATTTAAGTTTTCACTTGTTACCCTGTGTTTTACCTACTATTAATGAGATAATTCCCTGGATTAATCTTATTTATATGCCTTAAAATTTAAATGGTGGGTAGCTGCGTCAGCATGCGTAGGCTGCAAAGGAACAAGTAATAGGTTTATTCCATGCTGAAAAAAAGAAGAAAGAGAACACAACGTTTCGGCCGTGGAGCCTTCTTCAGGTGTCACCTCTTTCTTCTTTTTTTCAGCATGGAATAAACCTATTTCTTGTTCCTTTAAAATTTAAATGTCAATCAAATCACCTTTATAGGAACAATAGGTTTATTCCCTCCCAACCTTTGTTCTCCCGCTACTTTACCTTTGCCTACTGCCCTGTCTCTCTCACACCTGAAGAAGGCTCCACGGCCGAAACGTTGTGTTCTCTTTCTTCTTTTTTTTCAGCATGGAATAAACCTATTACTTGTTCCTTTGCAGCCTATGCATGCTGACGCAGCTACCCACCCGAAATCACCTTTATTGTAGATTGCAGAGATTTCTCTCTCTTAACCTGTTTGTATATGACAATCCCCTGAGATCAGGACTCATTCTTGTTGATCTTCTTTGAACTGTTTTCCATGGCTATGATATCCGTCTTGTGATATGGTGACCAAAACCAAACCCAATATTCTAGATCTGGGGTTCTCAAACTATGGTACCAATAATAGTACCCAGGTGGTATGCCAGATGACCCTGGAAATTTGTTTTGTGCACTGAAAAATTGGAATGGGTTTTCATATTTTCTATTTTAATAAAATTAGTTTGTGTCAAATACACAGCCTACGTACTACGATACAGTGTGCGCTAATACTTGAGTGGACACAAGGGCTGCAATGTAATTATATACCATTGTATAGGAATGTGTGCTACGAACGAAAGCGGCCAATTGTATTTTAAAAAAAGTTACCTCCAGCAAATAGGGAGGTAGGAGAATGTGTGTGATTTTAGAACAATGCCAATCTTATAAGCTCAGGAAAGCATACAAATGGGTGCTACAAATGTAAGTGACCAATTGTATTTAAGTTATCTTCAGCAAATCGGGAGGTAGGAGAATGTGCATGGTTTTGGAACACGGGCAATCTTGTGAGCACAGGAAAGCGTGATATGAATTCACATCTGCTTTGCTCAAGTAAACAGGTTCACCCCTCTCAATGAAATGGTGCTTGTTTATTGTTTATTTTTAATTGTTGTTTTTCCTGTTGTCATTCTGTAAAGCGCTTTGAGAAGCCACCTTTAAAGGTGTTATATCAAAAAAAGTGTATTATTATTATTATAATATTTATTATATGTGTATGTGAGTGTGTGCAGCTGTGCTCATGTTGGTCAATGATATTTTCTGTCGTTCGTATGAGATGACTTGTAGGTGGTACTTGGTCCAAAAAGTTTGAGAACCACTGTTCTAGATAATCTTACTAGCGCACTGTAAAACCCTGCATTTCACTTTCAAATGTGTTACTACCTACCCATGCAGTTTTGTTTAATTTTATTACTGCTTTTTCATATTGTCTTCATTAGCACATAAATGAATACACATATAATACCTATCCCTTTTGTGTAGCTTCCAGCTATCCATGTGATATGTAGTTTTGTCACATCTGCAGTAGTTCAACTACTTTCCTAATTATATCAAAATCTAAATCATTTATACATTTCAAGAAAAGAAACAGGCCTTAAACAGATCCTAATTTAACATCTGTCTAATTAGAAGTTGTGCTCCTTAAGAGAACATGCTGTCTTTTAGAGGGACATTATCAAAATGTTTTCTCCAAATATCCAATGTCATATGCTTTTTATTTACCATCCTTGGTGCTTGTTTAAAGAATTCAAGCAGGTTAAACAAGACTATTCATTTCTTAATTCATGTTGACTGTCTCTTAAAGTGTTACCTTCTTTACCTGTTACATAAGTAATACTTATTTTTAAGTTCAGTTCTATAAACCGGTGTTCCATCTATAATTCCTTAATCTATGGGTACTCCTTCCATTTTAAGAGAGAGATGAAATATCCTTGCTAGGATTCTATTAAATAAAATCCCTCATTTCTTTAATTATAACTTGATCCTGATCATCTATAGGAGTTTAGCAGCCTTAAGACTCTGTGGAACCTCAGAGTCAGTTATGTTAAAGTTGCCCAATACTGATGGAGCTTCTTTTATAACACGGTACATTAATTCCTTTTAAGATAACTTGATCCCCAGTGAAAAGAGTTCAGAGGTTACCATTTTTTACTTGCCTTCATAAAGCTAGCCTTACAACAGTCAGCTGAAAAAGTTACACTTTAGATAACAAAAGCATGTGGGTAAGTCACACTAACTAATAAAACACTCACTAAATTTATTTTAAATCAATAATGTACCATAATTGAAAGGGATGGCCACAGATTCATGTCTCCACCTTTTCTCCTAAGCCTTAAAACCTGATCTAACACACCACATCATTAAAAGGCAGTCTGGTTTCATCTTCCTCAACAGAATTGTGGATTGGTTTGGATGGACAAAAAACTAACTTTAATAGTGCTAAGGCAATCCTGACAAGTATGCGGAGGGCAAGAAATGCAAAAGGCACAATAATTTCCATGAGGTGAAAGATTGGGGTACTGAACTCACTCAAGATACAAGTGAGAAAAAAGGTGCTCAGGGAAACACAGGGATAGATGGAGAGTTTTGCAAACATAAAAGCATGCTCTTTGCCTCTATACCTCACATAGGGGTGCAGAGTTTCCCTTTCATTGAAGAGTGCAGTGACCCATATGGCCATCTGAAAAATGCCCGCAAAAAAGATGATAACACAGCTAATTTGGATGGCTTCCAGCTCATTATGGGACTTTTCCTCAAACTCATGTGTTAGCTGGTAAGCTAAGGGCAGGCCCCCAATGAACGCCAGAGAGAAGGTGTTGAGAAGGCCCATGAACCTGGTTGTCTTGGTTATATACAGAAACAAAGAATGGTGGACAAACCACAGTAGACCCACAGTCACAAAGGAGCCAAAGTAAGCCAGGTACTCAGGGCCAAAATCATGAAGAGCTTCAATCAAACTGTTGTTAAATCTCTCCTTTACCTCACTGGGTTCAGGCACATTGTCCTCACTGCAAACACAAAACATTTGGGATCAAACAATGCGGAGGCAGAGAGAAAAAAAAGGTAAAACTAGAGATTAAAAACTTAACTGCTTGAATGAAATTCTACATGACAGCTGAAGTAGTATTTCCAGTTAAGCCATCCAACTTTTTTTATATTCTAAACCCAATCCAAGGCTTACTGACTTAGACACATCAAATAAACATAATAGGAATTGAACTAAAATATTGCATAGGTAATTAAACACTAAAAATGAATAGTTGATGCTTAATTAACATACCATATATCTAAAATTAAAAGAGTGGCTACAATAGCATACACTCCATCACTAAAGGCTTCTACTCGCTCTTTGCTGAGAGGTTCTTTTGGGTGGTAAGTGTACAACAGCATAGTTTCATTATGCTCTTCTTGTTGGCCTGGGAAAAGACAATTTACAAAGATTTTATGGTCAGAAGCAAGATGTGTTTTAAACAGTTCTCTTTTTCTAAACTTAGCTACGTATAACTGTAGGAGTTTTTATTTATCTTAAAACAAATAAGGATTTTGTGATTTTGAGAGTGGAATTCACTCATATGTATACTATACCACTATACTATGAAGGAACAAATACTTCTATACTTGAGATCCTAACATTTTCAAAGCATACTTTGAAGCTGACACAAATACAGTTTGCCCTTGTTAATTCAAATTAAGTTGTATATCTTTTTATTTTACTACATCTATTTAATATATTTCACAGAATAAAGACATATTCCAATGGTTACAGTTCAGCCATCAGTTAAACTGCATTGATATATTAGGATTCAAGTCAAGCCAATTCTTTTTCAGGAACTGTATAGATACTATACAATACACTAATGTGTAAAAGAAAGAACACCCCTTACGATTCTATGGTATTACATATTAAGACATCTGACCTTCATCAAGTCCTAACAGTAGGTATATTTAACCTCATCTGACACATACTATAACACACAAATTTTACATTATCATTTATTCAACAAAAAAGTCAGCCAACATTTAGTAGCCTTCTGTGAAAAAGTAAGTGCACCCGATTCAGTCAAGTGTGGAACCCCCTTTAGAAGTAAATATTCCCTGAAAGAGTTTCTCAGTCTCTCACATTGGCTCTCACATTCCTGGGAGGAATTCTGGACCAATCCTCCTTAAAAAATCTTTAGCTTAGTGATGTTTGAGGGCATTTGTTTACGCATAGCTCTCTTAACATCCTGCTACAATGGCATTGAGGTCTGGATTTTGTAAAATCCCGGTTCTTTTCTTTTTCTGCCATCGTTTTAAAGATTTGATGTGTTTTGGATCACTGTCCTGTTGCATGATCCACTCATAGCTAAGCTTTAGTTGTTAGATTGTCCTTTTCCTCTAGCATGTGCTGGTATAGAGAGCAATTAAATGATTGTGAAGCTTCCAAGGCAGCTGAAAAGTAGGCCCCAATCATCAACCCTCCAACACCATGCTTGACGGTTGGTATGAGGATCTTGTGGTGATATGCAGTGTCTGATTTTACATTACGGCCAAATAACTCCACTTTGGTCTTATCTGTCCAGAGGACATTGTTACAGTAGTCGAGTGGTTCATTCAGGTGCTGTTTTGCAAACTGAAGCCATGTTCTTTTTGGAGAGGAGGGGTTTTCTCCTGGATTTCGTGGAAGGGTAGCCATTTTTATTCTGTCTTTTCCGAATGGTACAATCTCGAACTCTAATGGTTACCCATATTAACAGAGGCCTGTAGATCCCTGGATGTAGTGTTAGGGTTTTTTTTGCCATCTCTAGGAACATCATAAAGTCTGATCTTGGAGTGTGCATGATGTGTTACCACAAACCTGAATCTACCAGACCAAACTGACAAAGTTTCTGATTTTATGTACAGGTACAACCACTTCCTGATGATCAACTAATCATGTGTACTTGCCTAGCAGCACCTTATGCTAATTATCTTCTTAACTGATATGGAAGCAGTAAAAGTGCACTTGTTCTTTCACACAAACATTTCTGGCTTCTGAATGTTGGCTAGTTTTTTCTAATAAATAATGAGAAAGTAAAATTTGTGTGTTATTTTCACGTGATGTTACATTTATCTTCTGTTAGGACTTGGTGAGGACTGGATGAAGGTCAAATATGTCTTGACATTTAAAACCATAGAATCTTTAAAGGAAGTACTTTCTTTTTCACTTCACTGTATATCTCACCGCATATCTTGATATCGTGATGGACAAATTACAAAATTGTGCAAAATAATTAATAGATCAATTTGAGTCTGATTCCTCATTCTTAATCCTTAAGAGCTGCAACATGAAATATTCTATATGAATTAAATGCCAGACTGTGTACTCCAATGGTTTATATTGAATTTTCAGAATTTGTTAAATATATACTTAAGTTTGTATCATAGTGCTTTTTCAGCCAGTTATGCACCTGTAGAATACTCTGATCACATTTAATTCATACAGTAAAATCTGAATTTTCAATAACTCACCGAGTGCTTTATTGCAACACCATTTTAAAGTTTGTGAAAGGTAAGGATAGAAGATGACCAATGCCAGGAGAATATATGCCTGTAAGAGAAAACCATACAAACATTTCAAGCATTCTCTGATGGAAAAACAGCCAAACTCATCATGAACTTGACAAATATGCTGCTTCCTGGAGTATTTTTACAAGATGTCAACAGTAGTGTGCTAAAAAACACCAGATTATGCCTTGATTACAATTAGTTGAGCTTTTCATTCTTCTCCAGAACTAATGAGATAAAAATGAATAATTATGTTTTTTTCATGTTCAACAACTTATGCCCAATGATCATGTCATTAGTTACTTTGGATATAAAAATAAACATTTTAAGTGAAGCAAGGAAAATGCACCAATGTTTTCCAGCCATTACCAGGTTAATCAACGTGTTTTCATACTTCAATGGTACTGACTAATACTGATTCTAAGTGCAGGCAAGCTTACAAAACAGCTTATGAGGAGAAATTGTGCCATGCAGTGAGTTTTCCTGCTTTTGTCCTGCACATGTGTACATTGTTAAAAGCTGACAATGTTCTTTGGCTGCAGACTGGAAAGGTTTTGTTTCTGAAATGCAGTATCTAATTTGTTGACAATAGTACTTACCAGAGGAAAAAAGATGAAAGCAAAAATCCCTGCTAAAAAGCAGAACACTGGGACTCTTAAAATAACCTTTAAGATCTGGTATTTGTAATAGTTTTGGTTTTCTGATATCTGTATATGATCAATCAACAGGTAGGGTTGACTAAATCCATATAAAACAATTCCAGCCTGTAAGGGAAAGAGGGAAGAAAATATAGGTTTGGACAGAAAACAAAAACAAAAACAAAAAACAGGCATTTCCTTATTTTAAAGTCTTGCCTGGATTTTGTCATCTGTCCCACAACTCAGCCCTGATGTATTCTTGAACAGGATCCCCAAAATTCCAACAATATTCATCCTTACTTTGTAAAAAGAAATACATTTATAAGCATTGTCTCTACAGAAGAAGACAAGAACTCATTTTACAGTGTTTCAACTTGAGAGAACCTACAAAAGACTCATACATACGCAAGGGAAAGCATTACAAAACCACAAGTGTATGAATTCAATTTGACTGCATATCTGAATTTTGTACAGACGCAGCCATTCAAAATGTGCATCAAAACTTGTGTTCATGGTAAGCTAAATACTTTGTACTGCACACATGATTCAGCTTGCCAAATTTAATTTTTCACTTCCCAAAGAAGATCGATAGGTTTCACTTGTGGTGCGGTGCATGTTAGTGAAATGGTAGCGTCATTTAGTTAGTTGTACTGCTTCTTTAAATCCATTTAATATGGAGTCATTGTACCTTAAGGGAAATTTTGGTAGCAGAAAAAAGAAATAACTAAAATACAATAATGTTTCCAAAAATCATTAACTATAATTTATTAATATAAATATATTTATGTAGCTGGTAATGCTAGCTGACAATAAAATATAAGGTATATAACAGTATTCTATGTTCTTCATAAACATTTTCTACTTCAAATTCTTTAACTCCATTACTTGCTGTAGTTATTTTGGAAATGTTTAAATGTACTTACAGTACATGTTAATGCAAACTATGGAGGTATGTCCTAGCAAAAAAGTTTGTGAGCTCTACTTTTCACTGTAACAACATAAACATGCTTTAACTTTGGATGCAACCATACAGAGATAACTGTATCTCTGTAAGGTTGCGTCCTAGGGCCACAATGAAAAAAAAAAAACTTATACATATACAAACTTTTTATCTCTTATTTAGGACATCTTTCCTAGTTCTGGACGTAATTCCTAGTACTAAGGTACCTTAAAAGCGCTTAATGAACACTTCACAAAGAGAGATCATTCAGTTAGCCAGATGACTTTAATAAATGTGTTGACAGAAATCTTGATTTCAGTTTCTGAAACAAGACCAATTGTATCTGGTTGAGTAACCATAGCGACATATCTCTTCTTAACCTGCTGCAAGCAGGTTAATGAAACTTGAGGTTGACTGTATAGTTACAGCATGGTTGGTATGACTGGGTTGAGTGGGGGTTGAGCCCCCCACTCAACCCTCTGAGAAGAACATACTGCAGAAACTCTCACTAGCAACAAGACTGTACAATTGAAATTGGTATACAATTTGTAAATTAAAGAGAAAACAAGTTATGGAAAACATAATTCTAAATCTTCCTCTAATTCTTTCAAACTGCGATCAAAGTGTGTACGCACACATGCATATGGCATTGACTATAAAAACAGCAAAAACAATAAAACAATTTAGTTAAATTTAGAATTAATTTAGAAAAATGTCTTGATTTAGCACAAACAAATCTTTTAAACAATTTTGTTTATTGGGATAAGAATAAAAGTGAAAACATGGACAGAAAATTGATAGGCCTATGTGGTCTTAGAGCATGTATAACGACCTTTTTTGAACATCTCTGGTTGGATTGTACAGATGGTCCTGGACTGGCTCAGAGTAACCACATAAAAGAGTTTATTCCATTAAAATGAAAGTTAGCTTACCCTGTTAATGCTGGCATCCTTATATCATGGATGCTTCTGCTAATGGGAATGGGAGTGGTACTTGAAGCTTTATCAAATTCCTCTTACACATGAATAAAATGCTATATAATCTTTGTTCATGTTTCATATTTATTTGAAATTAAAGTTAGAATTGCATCCAATTGTTTAAATTTAATGTTCATGAACCACTCAATCCACAAGATGCTTTAGAATGCTTGTCAGTTTGCCTTTATATAACAGCGGCTGTACTTCCTGAGAAGGCTGAAGAAAATACGCCTGCATCCAAAGATCCTCACCAACTTCTACAGATGTACAGTGGAGAGTATACTGACCAGCTGCATCACAGTCTGGCACGGCAACTGTACAGCATCTATTGTAAGGCACTGCAGCAGGTGGTCAAAACTGCCCAACACATCATCGGCAGTGCCTTACCATTCATCCAGGAAATCTACAACACCAGAAGTCTGAAAAAAGTCACCAAAATTATGTCTGACCCCACTCACCCTAGTCATAACTTGTTTGTCCCCCTACCATCTGGCTGAAAGTTCCGGACAATCCAGTCGCATACAACTAGACTCCAAAATAGCTTCTTCTCCAGAGTCGTCAAGCTGGTGATGCCCCCACTCCCTCCCATCATACTATGATCTCTCCTAACTTCTTCCTGTACCCACAATGACTGTACTCCAACACCACTACATACACAACAACTGAATGTAAGCAGAAATTGTACTTAAACTGTATTAGTTGTCATATCTATTAATCACTGTACTATTTTTGCACTGTTCCCCGAATTACTTTTGCACTGTTTCTGTCCTGTTGTTTTCTTTTCTGTTTGCGTATTTGTACAGTTTTGATTACATGTTTATGTTATTACACTGTTATTGTTATTGTGTTACTGTTTATTGTCTTATCTTCTGTTCTATTTATATACTGCACTTGAGTGACTAATGAGAAACACTTTTCACTATACTATGCACCTGTGTAAGTATAATGTCAAATAAAGTTGAATTGAATTGAATTATAGTTCAGGAGAGTACACTGTTTACTAATGTTAACATTTGACTTATTTTATCTATCTATGATAAATTTGTAAATATTTTTGTATATAGACCAGTTTTATAGATTTGGATGTAGTTTGTGTTTTAGTGCAGTTCTACATCAGTGTCTACAGTAGTTATACAGCTAATATTTGCTAGGAGTAGAGTGCTGAGTCGGGTATGGTAATGATAGAATAAAATAATAAAAACTGCTTAAATGTCACTTCTGAAATTTTGTACTGATATTTGGATATATAAAAATCTTTAATTATACTTAAACAGCCCTATCTGTCAGATTATCCTTTCAGGGAACAATACAATTATTCTGGGTGATGAATGTCACCTGCTGTTCCCGAAAGTGAATAAAAATGCTATTGACCTATCCTTGACCCTTGCCTCCTACTAAGATACTATTGCTAATGAACAAATTTTGGCTTTGATCAAGCCACTACAGAAACCAGTGGAAAAACTGAACCACACATTAATCTTTTTCAATTTTTTTCAGTAATCTGTAATAAATCCAAATTCTGATTAAGTTAGTTGTCGTTAATAATACAAAAATAAAGAGCAATAGCACGGAATTCAAGTAAAAAATGGAATGATGCAAAATAAAAATGTAAAAGATAATTAAAAGCAATAAAATGTCAATATAAAATCTCAACATAAAAGGGAATAAAATAAAAAATAAAATCGACAAGCAAAAAAACAAATATTATCTAAAAGATACATTTAAAAAACTGTGTTTTGAGCTGCTTCTTAAAACTACTCACTGAAGTTGCCTTTTGTATAGGTGGTAGCAGCATGTTCCAAACCTTGTATGATGGTGCTAATCCGTTTA